CCCCCCTCCTCTCGACTTTTTTCTACTTTGATGTTCCTTCCCCTCTGTGAAGCCTGGAGTCAACTAAAGGGCTAATTATTACTATCAGAACGCCTGCCATTTGATATAAATAAATATTCACAATAAACTCTACCCATAACTGATATAATAAATACAATTCACAAGAAATTATCCCCATTGCATGATCGCTACTTAAAGCGGCGTTAGCAGTCCTATTGGTCATTGAGCAAGGACTTTCAACCTGGATAAAGTGCACCCAATTGCTTAATTCACTTGAATGGCAAGTTAAATAGTGCGTAAAATCGTTGGTGGACAAATAAGAAAGAGGGGCGAATTCACTTACGCAGCATGTTCAACAAGGTAATCGACAATTTTGTCCAGGGTCTTCTGAAAGAGCGCAACCCGAATCCACAAATATTTTGATAAGGATCCAGTAGCAGCCGGTAAATTCCTCCTAAGTTAGCAGAAATTGACTTTTAGAATATTTTTTTGCTCGAAAATAACGGAATTGTATAGCGCCGTAAAAATTAAATAAAAGAAAATCATATAGCATAAAAAATTGACAGAGATTTTATTCCTTTTTGCAATTCTAATGCGAAATTGAAGTTCAACACAGGACTCAATGAAGTTAGATAATAATATTTTACGTTTAGAGAAACTATTCAATTGATACCAATAGTAATAAAAAGAAACGGCTGCTATATAATCTTCGATTTCATTTTCTCGAGACAATAAAGGCGATTGAAATTTAACCAAACAACAAAAGCGGCGAATGAAAATATAAGGCTGTGACGGAGGAATGATCGAAGCTGTTTTTCCAGATAATTATACTGCTAAAACAAAATGGCAACCAATGAAATTCCTACCTTGGAGAGTCGGAGTAGCCGAGAGAGGATAGGCTGAAAGTATTTCCAAAACCGTTGACACCCTCTTCCAATTCTTGGACTCGCTTAACTACTTTCTTTGCTTCGGGAAGCGATCTCCCAATCTCCTTCAGGAGACTGAAAGTTCGTGATTCGCGATAATTTATCACGGGCCTTCGAAGAATGAGACCAAAGCGTAGGCAAGCATCGACGGCACCTTAAATTGGAAGTTCAAATAAAGTTAAGCCTTTTGCATTCTTGATAGAATTACATTTTTTAATTATGTCATTATTGGGCAGTTTGATCCTGTAATTATTTTAGTTCGAACAACCCTATGAATAATAAATTGTGGTATTTGATATATTGTTATAACTGTTACTTTGTGGCTCAGCGATAAAATCGACTACAGTACAAATGACTGACGATTTGGCTCGTAAAGGTCATAAGTGAGTTGACCAACAAGAGAGGAGAGCTATACAGAACATTTTCAATTGAGAGGTTTGGGAACTGACCAATTATATGAACAATATAGGATCAGCTTAAGTAAACGAAATAGTGGATCACTTTAAGAAACTCAAAAGATTCCATTTTAAAGTTCTCTTTTTACTACATTTGACGCTATTCTATTATCTGCTAGCACAATCGAGGAGAAAATAGTTTGATACTAATGTAACTTATGGATTCATAAACTTTGAGTGTAGATTGTGGAAGTGTTTTCGGTTTAAATTTATTATCACATATAATATTCACATTTAAATATCCAATTTACCACAAAATGCAGTTACGTTGCTACTTTCCTCATGAATGTAACTCCGTGTAACGGATTCTTCAGCCAAAATTTTAACCTAAAATTAACAAAAGAAGTAGGCAATAAGTTATGTTACATAAGACCTGGCGGTGTCATGAGTGGAGAGGTAATTTAATAAACATGAATGTAGCTAGAAATTGGTGGTTGAAAGTGCATTTGGGAGATTTTGGGAATGATGATGGGAAGAGACATTTTGAAGTAAAAGTGCGGATGGAATGCTGAAGGGCGTACCTTCTGTTTGAGGTCTTCAATTAAAGCGCTGCGTTTTTTCTGAAGATCTTGAGATTCCGCACCGCTTGGCTGATCTACAAAAACGGGTAATATTATAAGCCAAAAATTCGGCCAACACACACATTAATGATTTTAAATATAAAATAAATAAGTTGTACTCGATGTCGAACAATATGTAATTAATTAAAGAAAAACAATTATTATGATATTACAAACGTGGATGAAATTTAATTGTTAGGAAATGCATAAGAAAATGAGACTGCTTGTGAATCAGTAAAGCAAAATGAAAAGAAGAAGTGAACAGTTTAACTTAAAAAGGGGGATTTCCATGACATAAACTTACACCATTTTTTGAGATAAATGTGATTTATAATACCATTATTTAAAGATCCTGGAACTCTAATAGCTAGATTTTTAGGAACTTTCATTTTTATAATAAACAGACGAAGAATAAAAGTGAGAAAATTTAAAAAATTATTTACCATGGGAGAAAGCTTTTTGAAAACTAAATCGACGCTCAGCAGCACTTGGACCGTCATTAAAAAATGAATTCGAAATAAATTTATTTCTTTTATTAAGGGTGAAGAAGCCAAAATTTCTGTCTTTAGAAGATATTCCGTTTTCGCTTGAAGGTGACGTTGACATTTTTGGAAAGTGTGCAATTTAAGTGCCAAATTCAATTAACGATATGATCCAGAAGCATTGATTGCCTACTCAAGAAGAAGCGATCTTAAATATCATCAAATACAATTTGAAATATTTTTCATACAGTAAAGAAAATTAATTCATCGAACTTTCGAACAGAAAGCACTACACACAGAAAATAATTTCACTTTTATCTAAGCACGAATCTACAACAAAACGGTTTACTCTGATACTTATTTGGTCAAAATAAATTCACTTTTAGATTGTATGAAATGTTGGCATCGCTAAAGTTCCTTGAACTTAAGAATTTAAACAATTGTAGGTCAAGTAAAAAATTTTAATTTAAAAGAAATTGAATCAGTCGCATATAAAAAACAATCATGAATAATTTATTAAATAAATTTTTGATTTTCTGGCTAATTTTTTAAATTTAAGGATATAAATTCCCATAGGCATATGTAATATGTAATGAACTTTTAAGAGAAATCTCATCTTTTGTAAAAGTTCACTTACAAATACATCAAGCTATGAAAAGCAATATCATGCACTGTGTTATATCTTTTACCTCATTTTAAAATTTTACTTCATATTCACTCAAATAATGGAAATATGCAAATACTTCTATATTCAATTTGGAAATTTTGCCTCTTTGTACTACATGAATTATGGAATGATGTACATTTTGAAAATAAATTATGATTGTATGCTTTATTTTTGAAAACCTCAGTTAATAAACAACTAAAAGGAAAATTTTTTATGTCAAATCGAAGAGGTTTCGATGGTTACCATTAGATTTATAGCTGACTTCGAGCTTCATAGAGGGAATGATCATAAAGGAGACAAAAAATTGGGATCTGGAGGGAATAGAAGAGTAATTCTCAGTTGTAAAAGTGGCATATTGACAAACAGACACAAAAGCAGAGAATAGGTTAGGCGAATACTGCGGAAATGGTCAAATATGATATAGTGTGTGGTCATGGAAGTTTGAAGTCAGATGTCAGTTGTCTGCTTATGGAACTTTTTGCCATATGAGTATGAGTTGCCCAGGGTCCTTCATTTGGAGGTTAGTCTATAGTACGCAGCACTAAACGAGAAAATATATTTTCATGGAATTCCAAAAATTTTGTTCACAGAAAGATGAATTGAGTCAAGCAAGTGAAAAAAAGATATGACAAAATGACAATAAAATTCAAGTCTATTTGCCAAAGAATAAGAACATTAACAAAGAGTTCAGCTGATAATTGTGCCAATCGTTATATTTAACTTAATATCCCATAATGGCCATTTTAAACGCCTTTATAAATTAAATACTAAAATAGCATTGCTTCAACTGCTGTCTGAAACGTTTATTCACAAATATATAGGTAAAAATGGCTTCTATGCCTGTCTATTGTCAGTGTAACTAAATATTCTCCTATTTTTTCGTTAAAATTTCTAGTTATTATGACCATGTGCATAATATTCTGAGTATAATTTTGTACAAAAATAATTTACTCATTTTTTACTAATTGGCATAAATATTACAAACATATTCACGAAATGCAATATTCATCTTGCTCTACCTTAAAATAATCGTTATCATCGATGTGAAATCATTTTATTGATGATACTTACCTAAGGGTCTCTGTTCTTATGCTATTGGTCGCTTCTTGGATTTCGGGTGACAGTCCCAATGATAGCCTATGAAGTCGTGAAGTAAATAGTTGAAGTAATATTTAGCATTTTTATGGATGATTCATTTCTCTTATTATGTATTCTGTATGCTAGATTTATAACAAACAGGAAGCATGAAGCAGATACTTTTGAGAAAATATCTGAAAAGTTTCATCAACTGGAACAAAAGTTTGAACCACATCTTCTTGGGGAATTCCTTGTATGCTGTTATTTTGGGATAAATTATGATTTAGTCCATTTTGTTGGAAGAATCGATAGTTAGTGATGTCTTTCAGAAGAGTTTATCGGTTTTTCTTCTTTGGAATTTATGCAAATCTGAAAAGCTGTATTTAAATCCTTATTTAGGTTGCATCTTGTCGAAACTGGTAAGTGTTTTTTATCAGTTAATTGATAATACTCTTCTAGACTGAGGCGACATCGGATTTTCCACTTCCAAATCAATTTAAATCTTTTATGCAGGGTTTAATGGCGCATCCCGAAAGATCTACCGATGTAATTTTTACTATTTTGATTATTGATGCTTAGCTTCTAAGAATGACATTTTTGCAAATCTTAAATGCAAATATGGACGCGAAATCAAATGAAAAGGTTCGATTTCTTTCACCTTGTACTACAATTGCTAGATTGATTTTTCGTTTGCTGAATGTGCTCTACTCAAGCAACGGCAATGCATGCCAGTGTCTTCTATTCATAGTATTTCTAATATTGTTCCAGATCCTGAAAAAGCCAGGTTTGTATTAATCCTTCTTTAAGTTATTCAATTATACTCATTTTATCCAATTAGAAACTCGCTAACTTGGGAGTTCCGTAGATAGAAAATACTAAATTGTTTAGATAAGTAGGTAATTGAAATATGAATATTGCGCAAATTAGTGACATGAATGGCTCTATTTATTTAAGTTCTGATAGTCATTAATTTTAAGGCTCGTTTAAAATATTGTTCAAGTCTTCGAGTACAGTTATTCCTCAATTTCATTCTAAACCGCCCAATTAATTAGACTTCTTGGCTCAGTCTACTTCAGTCTCACGCTCATAACATCCAGGTTTCATATTCTTGCCCATTAATTTTGTTTAATTGTGAAATTAGATGTTAGTGTAGAGCTTTGTCTCATCTCAAATCTGCTTTGCTTTTTCCAAACTTGACATTATCATCAAATACAAGCTATAAAAATTCAGATGGGATGTAAGCAAGGTTGTATTGTTAAAACAAAGGCGGAGCAAAGTTTTTTCACCTACAGACTAGAGAGGTTTCACTGATATACCATTTTATCAGCTATTTTTTTCAGCCCATTATGGAGTACAGAGCAGCATATACAAGCCATGGTGGAAAACGTCGAAGTTTTGGCTTCACTCAAGCAGCCTCTGAAACCAGAACTGATCCGACTCCAACCACCTCCTATGCCGACGTCACAAATTGCCGTTGCCGAAGATTCACTTAGTATCCCCCCAGAGGAATTTATTTGGCTGTATCCCATCACTTTATCGCATGAGTTCCATTGGGATTCAACCATGGGCTCCAGTCAATCGGCTCCCAACCTTGAGGTTAGTTTTCTTAGTGCACTGCTACAATTCATTTTGGTTTTGGGATGTCGCTCTACCTTAGCGCTTTCCACGATTAACTTAGCCTATAGTTTTAAACTTTTCTGGCATGAGTAAGGCATCAATTTTATAAAACGGGTGAATTAAAAAGGGCTGTGTTTTCGTGGGTCTATTTTATTAAGTTTCAGTAAACACTTTATTAATAATGGAATGAACATGTGCTCATGTCATGTGTACTAGAATGATTAATGAGTGGTCGAAAATATCCGGACAGAGTATCACGGACTTGCCAACAACGCGATTCGTGGTGATTCCCATAGATTAAATACTTTGTGCTTGCTTGTTTTCAATCGGCATGTCTTTAAAGATTTTTAAAAGGGGATTGATTCTCTCGAAGTAGTTCTATTGATCTTTTAAGGAATTAACAGGTTACTGCCCCTTGTAATTGTTGTCATCCTTCTCTCTTGTCAATTGTTTCTATTGATTTTTATACCCGTCATCTGAAGTGTTCTCCAGCTTTTATTTAAAGTGGAAATGTCTCTACTAGGGTACTCGTATTCCGCTAATCCCCTGTTGATCAACTTTATTTAAGACAATTCATTGACTTTCGCAGACGAGTGCTGTTCTCAAAGGCTATGTATTAGACGTATAGCCTTTCTGCGTGAAAGTGACATTTGTAACAACCAATTTATCATATTTTCGAATTGAAGTACAACAAGGCGAACTGCTGTGAAGCTTATTCTTGAATCACGACATCGCTTGTCCGGCTATTCCAAACGTAATAATTCAAACTCGTTTCTTGTAGATTCAACAACTAGCATCTCTGGCTCTGACGACTTCGCTCACTGTCGCTCAAAGGGAAGAGCTAATCCGCGTGATTAAAGACAATTCCAAAAGTGTCAGCTTCTCTCCCGAAGATGTAGGCTTAGCTTAATAATTAATCTCATCTTTGTTTAAGTTTTCAAGATTAGTGAACGAAAATCCAATAATAGCTACCGAGTACCTCACATCCATCCAATTAGAGGATGAATTGGACCTGTAAGAGCCTTGCGGCCTACTCGGTCAAACTCACTCACTCGTTTTTTAGGTTCTTAGCGGCTCTTTTGGAGATGGATCTAAATGTCGGCCTACTAGAAGTCATAAATCAAACCTCTTCGCGCATGAAACTTCCAAATAAGTTTGTCCTCAATTGTATCCCATACGTTCTCACGAAATGCCAAAATATAGAGGACAAGAATGCCCAGATGCGAATCGCACGGCTAGTGTGCTTGTTTACGATGTCATGGCTACGAAATAAGACTCTCAGTATCAACAATGCTGTAAGTCATGAGAGAAAGTGAGGGCCACACGTCTGCATCAGCAATAATCGTTGAATTATTCATTTCAGAGTATCTTCACAGAAATTGAGTCCTTTTGCTTGGCATTCTGTAAAGTCAAGGAGGCCAATCTCCTCTATCGTCAAGTGAAAAATCTTGAATCCGGGACGCCGGCAGACAAAGATTCATAAGTGACAACTGGAAGGCAGCTAACAATTATGGCACACACATTTGTTTATGCGGAATTAGCTTTATTTCAATTTTCTAATAGAAGTAGTTATACATTTTTCCTTATTAGATTATTTTCTGGATGAAATCGACGATTTTGTGGGGTTCTTCCATGGCACCTTTTCCGACATCACCGCACATTAGCTTCTTGGTAATGGGTTCGATCATAGTCCAATTAAGCGTATTGCAGAGAATATCGATGTGTTGAAATGTAAGAGGATGGTCCCACATAGACGTGTTCATTGCGGGAGCGAAAATACCTATTTTCTTGCCCTGGTTGGTTTGGCCTCGAAAATACCAAGCTCGAGCAGTACATGTTAGTAGGTTATCGCAGTGGCCTCCGGCAATTTTCGCCAGCGTGTTTGCAGATAGAGGAGCGATTAGAAAAATATCTGCCCAATTTTTAAGCTAAATTTTAAGGGGGAAATTTAATTTACCTCTATATGCAGAACCGGGTCACCTCGTTGTTTCCAATATTTCTGCTCATCTCGATCAGTAAATATCGGCACGTCTAGCTTTGATTTATCAAAGAAGTGCAGAGCATTTTCTGTGGCAATCACTTTGACATTGAATCCAAACTGTTTAAGAAGGGAGACGATTTCTTCAGCTTTAACGGACGCGACGCTCCCAGTTAGACCAAGGAGTACGTTCCTTTGGCCGTCACTCATACCCAGCGGGTGCTTTAAATGCCTTCGATATCAAAAATAATGTGTAACGATTTGAAAATTAAAAAAGATTAGATCTATTTGAATAAAAAAGCTTTTTTGGCTACATAAGGTTAATGCAGTAATTATTTGTATAGTGCTAGCTGATTAAAATAAGTCTTAGCATAAAATGTGGCATGTAAATTTTTATTTAAGATTTTATTTATTATTGTCCCTTCCCTGATATGATTTTGAAATATTTTCACAAAAATACAATTTAAGCCTATGAGTTTAATCAGCTCTGTTGACCTGAATTTACATATACTGTTAATTTCCGTCTTCAGTCGCAATGTCAGTTGATCCCAAATTTGCAAATTTGCCATGGATTGTAAGGACTATATTATTCACCTTAATTGTCACAGGCACATGATGAACCAGATGTTTATGAAACAGATGATTTACCAGAAGCCGACCAGAGAAAATCCGAGGTATTTTTCACATAAAACGACGTAATAATTTTGTAGAGTGAAGTTGAGCTGATTTTGCCTAAGGAAATAGAAAACACATCAATTTCAGCTGAAAAAGCTCGCCAACGCTTTGAACACTGTAAGGTCGATGCGAAAGATGCGGGTAAGTATGATCGTTTATTTGTCCTTTATTTTAAACACTCTCAAATGTTTCCATGTGTTTTTTAAGACTTTTCGGATAAAATTACCGGATGTGGCAAAGTTGGTTATGCAGTAGAGTGCTCTGAATACGAATCGGTTTGTTTAATATTCGCCTAGTCGCTTCCTTTAGTACTTTTATTGATTGATACCTATCAATCGTGCTTAGAATCCAGTTAGCGGCCCTGATTCAACTCTTACGGCTCGTTTCCAACACCTTCAATCAGAAGTACTTCAGCTGATCAGTGATGCAGAAACAATTAAGAAGGAAGCTGGCGCGAGTGCTAGTAGCGGTGACCTCACTGTTGAGCAGATTTCAGATCTCGCATCCAAACTAACTACTCAGTTAAGCCAACTTCAATTGGAAGACATCTTCGGTCCGAACCTTGATCTCACAGACTTATGTGCTCATGATACTGTGCTCCAGAAGTATATACCGGTTTTTCATTGACTGCTCTCAAAAGCTCCCTTAAAATTTTTTTGAATTTGATGTTGTGTTTGCTTCCAGGCGTCTTTTCGAGCAGATTGCGAATTTCAAGCCGAAAAAGGCACCACATAAGGAGGGCGAACCTGACGAGAGTATTACATTTGAATTGTTCTCAAAACCTTCTGACAAAGTCGATGCCGCTAATGAAAAAGTTAGCTTATGTTTATTAACTGAAAACGGAAAATTTATTAATACTTAATGTTGATTCTTGAATGCTGTTGTTTACCCATTTTAAATAATCGTAGTTATTTTATTAGGTATATTAAAATTTTCATTTGATTAAATGGGTATAAAGGCCATTCTTCCGATTAACTTTACCATCTTTGTCATGATTTATCACTGATCAATCTTCGACTTCATTGTTTTAAAATAAAAATTTTTTTATAAAGTTTAATTGTCGTTGTACTAGCTTAATCTTTTTTATATTCTCAAGATAATAGCTTTTCTAAGTTATTCTATTGGAAGTTTCTTCTTCCCAAGGAGAGTGGTCTGTAGTGAAACCAGTTAAGACATGACTCTAACTCTTGCTGAGTCTTTTGTGCACACTGGGTTTCTTGCATACATTATATTTAGTCACGTAAACATGCCGTCTGGTCTTTTTGCGTCATTCAGTATATTTCAGCTGTGGCTTTATTCCCCTATTACTTGTATAAGTAAATTCCTTAATGTGCCAAACCTATTCGAATAAGCCACGGAAAGGCTTGGCTTTAATGCCATCAACAGGAATCTTTCATCTGTTATCCTTGAAAGGTATATATACATATACATATTTATAGCGCTTGTAGGAATATAACTCCTTCTTTACAGGCTTTAGAGTTAGATCGTCGACTTCAACGTTTGGAGGCTCTTATTGGTTCCCGTGATGTCTCTGTGACCGGGCCCAATGGACTCGTGGATGCTGCAGCTCGTCTTGTAGAGCAAGTCGCCCTACTACAGCCTAGTTACTTAGATCAGGTTGAGGCTCGAATTGCCACGCTGCAGTCTAAATTGACGAATGCCTCCAAAAACTCTGAAAGTTCGGTTATTAACGATGCTGCCAAACAGGCTAAGGTGGGAAATTCATTTCTTGGTTATTGATTAATTTATAAACTGTCTCAGATTGGTGAACTATTTGAGATTGTGAAAAAGTGGGACTCGTTCTCCACTGATCTCCCACTTGTTATTGATCGCCTCAAAAATTTAAAAGCTCTCCATGAACAAGGTGAGTCAGTTTAAGTGTTTGTTACATTTTAATGTATTGAAATAGTGGAGTAGATTTTACCTATCATTATTGTTTTCGCTTTAAATAAATGTAGTAATTTAGGGAGATAACCTTCCATGTCATGTTACAATCAGCAGATCAACCTCAAGTTCACATTTATATTAACGCCATGACTTCTTTGGTGAAAAATATGTATTTATGAACGAAAGCGCGTAGATCTAACATTTCCTAGGCTACTGAATTAATGTTTAGCGTATTCTTTCTATCAATAATCGCCTCTTTTCCCATGTAGCTTCGGAGTTTAGCACGTCACTGGTAAATATGGATGTTGCTCAGAAAAAAATTGAGGAGAAACTTGCTGCCTATGAAGTACAACTCAATAGCGTAATTTCTAACCACTATCTATCAGGAATCGTTAAGAAGCGGCGGGTTTTATTTTTGCACTTTTTTTTCTATTTTTCAGGCCCAGGAATCCCTATCGAATGCATTGGAGGTTTTCAAGGAGAATTCACAGGCTCCTGAGAAATCCTTGAAGACTTAACCATCTATCCACATACTTTCCTCTGAATTGCTTGCTACATTTTATCTTGGTGGTATTGTTCAACTCAAAACATGGATTTCCTTTTTTTCCTTCTGTATACCCATCTTTACTTGTTAAAACGGCACTAAATTAATAATGAGATGTGAAATTTATATATAACCTTTGTTATTTTAAATTTAATTTGGGATAGACAACTTTTCGCCTTGCATACTTGATATTTGCTGTTCATAATGCTTAGTTCTCTCTTGAAGTTCTCTAGTCTGTTGTTTTAGGTTCAAAAGTTCCTGTTTCTTTGCTTCTAATTTATCGACAGATTCTTCAAAGCCTCTAAGCATATCTGTTTGTCCAAGGAGTCCACAGGCCTTTTGCATTGCTGTGTAACTTGCCCTCAAAGCATCACGTTTCTGTTTCAACTTTGCTAGGGAATCTCGACCCCTATTCAACTCAACAGTTAATTCGTCGAGTTGCTTTTTAAGTTGAGAGAATCCTGCCTCACTTGAACTCAATTTTTCATTCGAATGCGTGAGGATTTGGACAGTATTATTTATTTTCCTTTTCAATTTTCCGGTTTCCTCATTCCTCTCTTCAATTTTCTCATTGTAGGTTTGATTTTCGATTTTCATCTGTTCAAAATCGATTAGATGGAGACTCTCTGAAAGATCGTAGGCCTTGAATACTTCCTTAATCTTCTCTACTTGTCGTTGTAGCCTCATATTTTCTAACCTCTCTGCTGTTATAGTGGAATTCTTCTTTTGCCACGAATCGACCAAATCCTTGTAGATATTGACTGGATAAACACGGCCGGTTTTAGAGCTAATGGCTTGACTTGCTTGATTCAGTATGAAATCAACAAGCTCCCCATGTGTCTTAGTAGCTTCGGCAATTTTTTCCTCAGACAGCTTCTTAATAGAAGATATTTCAGCATCGAGTCTTTCTTTTTGTTCAGAATACTGTTTCTTAATTTGATTTAAAGTCTTTATGTGCTTAGCATATTCCATGGAGTGATCTATACCGATAGATATAACACTGCTTGTCCTGCTATCATGGTGGGAACGGGCGATTTCACCAGTATCAGCCCTCTTCCGGCGAAAGTGGTTTGAGAGAATGGTCTGAAGTTGGATGTTAAACTGTGCAGCCTTACGCTGACGTTCAAGCAATTCATTCTGTTGATTTATTAGGTCCAGTCTACGTTGTTCCTGAGCTGAATCAATAGTGGAGACGGATTCCGAGGGGTTAAGGCTTTGGTCAACATCTTCATTGAACGGATATGTACTTTCCAATTTCTCCGAAATTTCTTCAGGTTTTTCAATGTCTTCAGAAATCTCGGATTTCGCTTTATCCACCGCTTGAATAATATTAATTTCTTCAGGTGGAACACTTTTATCGGCAGACATTTCAGGTTTCTCAATGTCCTCAGAAATCTCCGATTTTGCCTTATCCACCGCTTGAATAATATTAATTTCTTCAGGTGGAACACTTTTTTCAGTAGACACTTCAGGTTTTTCAATGTCTTCAGAAATCTCGGATTTCTCTTTATTCACCACTTGAGTAATGTTCATTTCTTCAGGTGGAACACTTTTTTCGGTGGACATTTCAGGTTTTCCAATGTCCTCAGAAATCTCCGATTTCGCTTGATTCTCTGCTTGAGTAATATTCATTTCTTCAGGTAGAACACTTTTATCGGTAGACATTTCTTCATTCTTTAGAGATTTTTTATAATCTTGAGTGAGATGATCCTGTTGCAATACTTCATCCTCGTGTGGAATTTCGTTATTTGATAAGATCAACTGAGAATTGTCTTCTGCATTCACAGTTTCACTTTTAGTTTCAGTTGGCTCCCGAGGTGCATCTTGAAAATATATCCATGGAAATAAATTAAAGCGGAAATGGCTAGATTTCTTGTCGTATTAAGCAATTACTAACACATACAAATATCGAGATTTGCTATTAAATAAAATCTAACCTTTATCTTCTTGCTCTCCTTCGATGTGACCCTCTGGGTTATCTTCCATTTCACCTAATATATTAAATCAATATAATTTACATCCAACACAAGATAATCTACATGCTAAAAAATGCAAATGTATGGTTTCATTGGTCTCTATGTAAACATATTCGAAATTACTTGCATTTATTAATGTTCAATAAACTATGTTTGACTAATAAAATAACTGATATATATATATATATATATATGTTTAATTCACAGACATTATTTTAATTCCTGAAGCATGAAGTCATTATTTTAAAAAAATTATTTCTAACGCGGCAAATACTCGAAACCATGTTCAAGCATTAAATTAAATATTTGTGTTTTTAATGTGCAATGTTTTAATCTATCAAAAATGTCTTTAAAATATCAGGTATCTTCCCAATTGTAAAGAATGGGTGCTGCTTTGACTTCGAGAAAAATGGTGTTAATTTATCTGTTGGCATTTTTAACTTGATTTGCAAGACTGTCAAACTTAATGAAAATATCTCCCTGTAAATCATCATTTGATTTACGAAAATAACTTTCTTTTTCAACTTATAAAATAGCTTGTCAAGTTGTGGTTTCCAACCCCCATAAACCCAAAATCCATCTTTATGATTTGAATACAAATTCGATATGTAAAGCCCTCTGACTTTTCATGGAATACTTGATTTGCAACCCTGCTATACACATGCTCCCATGTTACTGATCGACCCAGCTGAATGGGAGGAGTGGCTGCAAAAGAATTAACTCCTACCAAAGAATAGCAAGGTCACTGGTACTATTTACATTGCGTGCTGCTCATATAGATTTCCTAATGAAAATAAGGTTGGCCTAACTACTGCGTGTAACCTAGAAGCTGAACTACTGTTCTTCACTTCTGATTGTCTATCTTTCCTAAGAGGGATCGGGAAACGAAAATGAACCACTTAATATAATAAAACCTTAAGCCTATGTCTATAGCTGACAGATTTGAAGACAATTGCATATAATTTGAGCATAGTAAAATGACTTCTCGCAATAAACTGCTTTAACGCAATACATATTTGTTATAGCCTCCTTTCCAACCCAAAGTAAAAAAAACTAAGGCATCCATAAAAAAATCAAATAGACTCCAGTTATTTCCAAGTATAAGAAAGACCTTGTGGAGTATCTAGTTGAAGGGAAAGGAAACAACGAATGCTGTTTTCTATTTAAATCTGATGCTTGGTAAAAGAAAAGAGTAGGAGAATAAAGTGAAGAGACACAGAAAATTTAAATCAATGTCGACTGCGTTTCCCTGAGTCGCTATCTCCTTCAGAGTTATCATAATTGTGACGGCTCCGTTTTTGCGCACCGCCTGTTATTCGTCGCACCGCCGATCTACTAAAAACGAAATAGGAAAAAATCGTTATTTAGCACACAGAATGGATATAGATAATTATTTTCCCATATTTAACATCCATAAGATGCAAACGACGAACACAATTTTCGGATGATTCATGGATTTGTCCATTATTTCCTAATCTCATATTGGACACCTTCTGATTATCAACTCCTTTTATTTTGCAGCTTTTCTGCTGAAAAGCAATGGTCATAATTGTTAATTCGATGAGTGTATAAATGAAAGACAATGATGAAGGACAGCTTATTCCTACGGTCAAAGAAACAGATAAAACCGGTATGCCTTTGCAGAAGTACACTGGATTATCGTTGAATGATCTAGTTGATTGAACCAATCACTGAAAAGCGATTGGAGATAACAAAATTGGATATGAAAATAACTATGCATCTAATAAAATCTCAAATGCAATTAATGACCGAAAATAAATTCGAAAATTGGTAGCAGCCGTTTCAGGCCCCATTTAATGGATGAAAGAAAATGACCTTACCTTTAATTATCCATTAACCGCCGTTAATAAAATGTGAAAAATTTAGTTAACTATCTTTCTTTTCCAGTCTTCCATCGAAATATTTAACTTATCACCTATCACGTTGCTTGCCTCAATTCTATCTTATTCGCTGCTTCTTAAACCTTGCATTGTTTTCAACCACAAATACAAGTATCAATGAAGTCAGATCTCCGGACAAGTTTTCACCACAGCATTTCATGCACTTATTCCTAGCACATTACAATTTTTTCAGAAAATTGGCATGGGTATAAGAAATCACCACAAAGTGTGTAGATCACAATCTTCCCATCATACGAAAGATTACTTTAATTTTAAATGGGCCTACTCATAATTGAATCAGTAGCATATGATTACGATAAATCGCCTCTTGCCTATACGAGGTACGATGGCAGTAGCCACCTTCACTACTACTATCATTAGCGTCCTCTGATTCACTATCGACTTTATCCAGAATAGAGATTGGTGAGGGCGGGAGGGAGATGGAGGAACGTGACTTGTTTTCTGTTGGTTCAACCACTCCACGCAAGGTCCGTGTGGTTCCCGAGAGCCAATGGCGTAGTGCACCCCTGTTTCCAAAGAAGTTCACAAAGGATGCAGAGCAATCCTGATAGAGATCTTCCAAGCTAGCTACTATTCGCCGTCGTCTACTTCCAATGTCATCTAGGAAACGGCTACCCTTTTCTGCAATCGTGTGTAGATTGTTTTCCAGGAGTAACTGCTTCTCCTATAAAATATAAAACCAAAACGAAACAATAAAACTCATATTTCTTTGCTTCATTATTTCACCATTGACATCTATGTAAAAGCATGAGATTATATGATACTTCGAAGCTTCTAATACTACAATAAAACCGAGCGAAGAAAAAAACCTCCGCAATTAGCGTGTGACTCTTGATTCTCAGGCGAAGCGACCAACAAGGACTGCCAGAGCCTAATTTTCGGTTGCATGATTCTTAGAAATGGTAAATATGATGAAAAAGTCACATGCTCAACGAGATATAAACTCGACGCAAGGTTATTTTAGATTCAAGGCAATAGCAGCAACAATAACCCTGCATGCCTACTCAAGGAATTCGATAAACTTAGTTACTGGGGTCATGGAAGAAGTTTTTGACCAGAATTTCTCTCCTTTCAATTCCAGCTTCAACTGCCTAGGCTTATAGGACTAGGCAAGCGTTTGAAAATTGCTTTATAATAAATTTAGTCTCTGCACGTCTTGTTTTCATCAGAGGACTTCAAGCAAAGACATTACAATTACTAGAGGAACCCCCCCCCCCTCGCTTACATGAAGTTGGAAGAAGTGATAAAAAAAGGTAGTTAAAATGGTCAATCTCATGTGTGATTTAGGTCTCAGTGATTCTGGCGCCATAAATACATGTTTGGTATATAAGCTGACTGCTTCTATGCTTCAATCGACAAACCCAAGGGGATTAACAATGCTCTATTTCTAAGGGATTCAACACTAAAAAAATCATCTTCATGAAGCAAGAAAATCTTTGAAACCACAACATTTTACGTGCGGAGTGATCGGTCGACTAGCACGTGGGGGGGGGGGGGGGGGATGAATTATCATCAGAGTGCGGTTAGATAGAGAGCAATATGAAGTGAATGGACAAAAGTTGGACACTTCACTGAAATTACCCACCCCCCTCACTTCCGGTGCACAGTAAAATCATCGCAACTGCAAAAATTATGGAACTCAGGAAATCCAAGCAAACAATCAGCAAAAGCTTGACAGATTGTATGAGGTTTAAAGTTCAAGTCATGATGGAAAGCAAATGAAATAAGTTTATCCAAAATCAATAAAGCCATTACAATTTTAAAATATTTAAGACAGGTTAAAATTAAGGGATGTTGATGAAGATAATGAGAAGAAGATGGAAAATTTAGCATAATTCATCTGCTTCCAACTGCTACTGCTTCGCTACTACATAGTCATTAGTAATAATAAAGGAGGATCGAATATAAGGACATACCTTGACATAACTAATGTTCAAATCGTGCCGAGTTAGCCCTCGACTAATATTTCTTCTGAGGTAGCCGTCATAGTCCTTCAGAATGCGTCCAATCACGTCAGTGGTCGAAATTCCTTCAGTTCGTTGGGTGGTTAGGAACCTAGTTAGCAACAAAACAAACTATTTTAACTTGAAATGTTTGAATACACTACAAATTGAAGCAGAACAATGGGATAAGCAACTTGCATATCAGCATCTTTGAAGGGCTGATAAAGATCTTTGGAACCATCAGTTGCGTAAGGAATGTCATCGTGAGCAATAAAGTCAATCTGTAAATAAAAAGGATTTCTAAGAGAACCCCCATAGAATTCACCTGTTCTTAACAATAAAAAACTAATCTCAAGTAATCATACTCTCAAAGTGGCTTTCAAAAGAAAGAATTCATTTTGGCAGAAATATCGGTTTTATTTGTAGTAAATGTGTTATACATAAGGCGAGACATCTCACTTTTGATCTCATTCAAGAAACGGTATTCACCAGACCCCTCTACGTTGGTATCGGTCATATTCCGCTATTAGGTGTAGTAGCCATATAGAGTAAAGTAAAGCATCCCGACATGAATAGAAAATCTACTATTATACTCGTAAGAAATATGAATGCATCCGTTCTACCCTCCTCCCCTTTCCTCCCCACCCAAATCAGCTTTCCTCAAAGCAACTAATAGATATGTCAATGCATTGCTAAGCCATGCTATCATAGAGTCTGAATGTGCAGAAATTGTAGTTAGTAAAACGTGGTAATCGATTCTTTAAACCAAAGCTGGCCATTTGAATTTCATACCAGGGACAAGATAGACAAGCTTCAGCAAAAGCCACCAGATTGCACTTGTGAGAGACAGAGAGCCGTGGTAAACAAACGTTTTTGGCAGCGCTGCCTCCATCCTTGAAGTTAACTCGACTCAAGGTATTTGAGAAAATTGAAGTTTACTTGAGGACTACCGGGGTTTTCCGAAAGTTCGCCCACCCGAATAAGAGCCCACGGGAGCTTATTCGGATAGGCGGTTATTTGGAGTTAAAAGTTAAAATGTAGTCTTAAAGCTTTTATCTATTTGGAACTGAAGTTTGACTCTCCATATGCGGGATGAGTCATTCTGAATGCACAAAACGTGCGCGCTACACACATCTTTTACTTCTGTATAATTACTCCAGTGGGTGGTTATTTGGCTCTAAAAATATTTCCATGAAATGGAATTTTCCGTTTAACCGCCCTGGTCGGACTTTCGGAAAACGCCGGTAGTAGGAGAATTCATGAGTAAGAAAGTGTTCAGAAGTAAGAATACTTACTTGGTTAAATTTAATTCACACACCTGCTAACTAAATAACAAACTACAAACTGAGTATACATTCTGATTCTCGAATTGCAAAAAGGAAAGCAATTTAAGCCACATGATTCTCAGTGAGATACTTAGATTGTAATCGAATCGACCTTACAACATAATCCATTGCTTCAAATTTAAAAAGACAGTCAGCTGAGAACACTTTTCAGAAAGCATCTTCCATTACGTCAATGTAAGTAAAAGGGAAAGCAGTACCTTCATTGATTTGAGAAAGTCAATTGTACATTCCCAGGGACAGGCTTTCACAACTTCGTCGACATATCGACAATGACGCACAGCCTCATAACGCTCCTGTTCATTCATCACAGTTTGGCCCTTGTGGAATTTGGTGTCCTGATCACTTGATACTGGAGAGAAAACAAAGTACAAATGTAGCCAGCATTCTAAGAACAGATAAATTTCGGAGAACACTAATTGAGAGATTGGAGGTGGCAAGATAAGTGTTCCAAGAATGTGTGACAATTAGATGAATAACAACTATCGGCAGCTCGAGAATCACACAAATAACGGAAAATAACAAGGTGCAAACGCATCGCATAAAATTTACAGCTTTCTCTCCTCTCCTTCGGGTACTTGTAACCGAAGATAAAAGGCTTATAATTATTAGATTAGTAGGTGGTAGAGAAGAAGCAAGACAGTAGAGTGCACATTGCTAACATAAATAATTGAAAATGATCAACTGTTGCTAAACCGTTCTTAGTAACAATTTCATTTCGACTAGAGATTTTTGAATCTCTTTTCACATACGCAAAAGTATTAACATATTTTAGTTCGCTGAATCGAATATTTTCGATGAAAACCAGAACGTAATTCGCCGGCTCCTTGTCTAGTACACTGGTTTGGCGCTTATTTGCCTCCCATATTAATGTCCAAATTTACGGTTGGTCAAGTAGGAACTAATTTCAATTTCCTTGAAGACACGGCTCCCACCTTTTATCCATTTAATCTAGTGGTTCTAAGCGTCCATAGCCAAACGACTAGCTCTCTTGGCACCCAATGATACCACAGCACTGTAAGACCGTTATAACCGATTATACCTTATGTTTACTAATGCTTCCTTTGAATTTAGAGGCTAATTCTTAGTCATGAAAAGTACTCTGAACTTGGATATGAACAAATATGTAGGTATCGTGTAATGGCTAGAAATGATAACATTCACGTCCACCAAACCGGAGGACAAGCGCTCGAGGCCACCGGTGCAAGTGGACGGTGGTCAAGCATATCAGTTAGTATTGCCAAACAAATGTGATAACAGATAATGATTTACCAAGAAAAGCGAACCCACGATACCTTCCCCACAATTTACACTCCCTTTAAGAGAACATCTTTAAAAGGGGTTTTGATTGTAGAGCACAAACTACCGCATGATTTGCTATGATCCAAAGTACAAAAGAGGCTGCTATTATATATATATATATATATATATATATATATGTATATAAACAAGAGAAATAATTTATAACCACAAAGCTTACTTCAACTCATTTTACACTGACAGAAATAAAAAAGTGAGCAATTTTGATCCAGAACAAATCACGAGAACACTGAGGACAAAATGGAAAGAAAAATAAATTAGGAACACAAGATGCCTTGAAACAACTTTTTTTAAGAAATTAAGTTAGTTTATTTTTAGGGAGTAAAAATAAAAATTAAAGACAGCAATTACTACAATCCCCTACCCATGGGAGTTGCCATTAGGGTAGTCAAGTGAAAAGGAATTACTAAAACTGCCAATGTCATGGGTTCCCGTACTGGTTATGTTGGTGTGAGGAAGAAAGTAATGTGGAAGTACTTGTAAATGGAAGAAAGTAAAAAAAGCAGCCTTACAGTGTGGAGCTAATTACAACTCTGGATACTTACACGCATCTATCGTGGAAATGAAAGGCGATAAAGGTGCATTACTTGCATAAGAATTCAACAATGAATAGTGGCAGATAATGCTGATTTTCATCCCACGTGCGTCATTAGTGCACTAAGCCAAAGAACACGGATTGAAAATTCATCGATGTGCATCCAGAGTGAAAGAAGATAAAGTACAGGAGATAGCGCGTTCCCCAATGACATAGAAATACTCCTGTTAGAAAAGACACTTGATGAATCTGGCCAAGGTAACCTTAGAGAAATTCTCTAGCTTAAACTGAATATTCTCATTAGGTTATGGGGAAACCGAATTGATCAAACAAAAAGACGAAGCTTGGATTTAGATCAGGGATATATTATTAGACCAATGGGAAAAGAAGGAGAGGAAAGGAGAAAGAAGTGAGAATTAGAAATCGAAAGGGCACAAATGTCAACGCCAAAGGGATGAAACCCGTGGTCGTGGTGAGTAGTAAATTAGTACACAGTGAAAAACTGGACTTCTTTACGTTTCAAGTTAGTTGAATGAGTAACCAAATGATTGACAACCGTGAACCGCAGATTGATAGGTTAACATGTTAGAATACTAGAATTTTATAAGTAGAGATTGGAGGACGTTATTCCTCAGCCCAATGTTTGTTTTTAAGCTTTGAACAAGTCCACGTTTATGGAGAAATCGTTCAGTTATGTTTATTAAGTGGGGCCGCACAAGGCCTCGACCAGACTGGTGTGCGAAAAGTAACAATGACTATTTAATTGAACCGACAGAGCAATTAGCAAAGAAATATGCAGCTAAAATTTTTAATTGAAAGTCAGATCAGAGTTTGGAAGGAAGAGGTATTAAGAGGGAGATAAGATTCATGGGTGAGTTATTGCAAATAAAGCCAATAATGCTTGAACTGTTCTAAATTGTTCATATCTTACTGAGAAACTGGCCGAAATAAGGTACTTTTAAGTGAAGTTTAAGGACACCTGGAAGATTGATCACTAGGTAAGTATGCCTTTTGAAGGGCGATGAACATTGAGACAGATGAAAAGCTTGTACATATCGACAGAAAACTCTTCATTCACTGTACTAGCAAAAAACAGCATTAAGGGCATAAAAGGAAAAGCAACCGTGAAACTTTTCATCAAGAAAGACACTGAATGCACTGTGCTACCTATCCTCGTAATATGAAGAAATTTGATTACTCACCATATATACCACGAGGTCAAATGAGGAAATTATCGCACACAAGCCGATTCAAAGGAAGAAAATAAATACTAAGCAAAGTTAACGTGAATTGTCCAGAATTAACGAAAGAAATCGCAAATTACAATTTTACGCGTACTAATGTGCTAGTACATTAAGAGCTAAATCATTTTAAAGCTTTGCAAAATTGGAGAAGTTCACATGTGTGGCATAATTTAACTCCAATTTCATCATTATGAATGAATAAGGTAGTCTAATGAACTTGGAGTTAAACACAACACTTGGCAATGATGGAGAGATATGAGATTCACTAAAACAGTAATAAACTGCTTTAAACAATAGTGAATTATCTGACCACAGATTAACCTCAACGGTAGAAAGATTAGCATACTCCATTCAAATAATTGCATGTCTGAAAACATAGAAAAGGACGTAACCCCCCCCCCCCCGCCCCTAACTTTTTCATATTAATTCGTGGAAAACATCACAGGAGAGTACTTCTTATAATTTCAAAACAAAAGGCAAGTATCCTGAGGCCAAGAAAGAAATTAGAAGTACAAAGTCGACCTAATCCTAAATAAAACCACGCTAAGAGCTATATCAAATCTGCGTAGAAATACTCCATCAAAGTAATTACCTTAACAGCTTTTAAGAAAATGGCAGATCATGAGTTAAGTATGATCATGGGATTATTGGGCAATTGAAAAAGAAGAGAAAGGGTGGAGTAAAGTAAGAAATTGGGAGGTAAGGGGACGATTTCAGGACAGAGACAAGGCATTCGGAGTGTGAGGGCAAGGTGAAATGAGAAATGGTAAGGCAGTTGACCAACTTCGACTTTCTTCTAAACAATAGTTGGAGCAAAGGTATAAGCTAACAGATGATAATTGTACAGAGGCTACGAGAGGACCTAAAGGATAGGTACTAAAAATACTAGCTTAAATTGAATTTAAAGTAGATATCTGGACAGGAATTGGTTAAGTTTAATTACAAACTTCGTAATGGCACGTGGTCATTAAAACAAAACGAAGTGGAATATGAATGCAGAAACAAGGTGCAAATCATGGGACTGAGATTAAGGCAGAATCGCTTTGGTTAGACACTAGCAGATAATCTAAATCTAGGGTAAGCTATTACCATAAAGATTTTTGTCAAAACTGTAACCTAAATTAGTCATAGCAACCATTTAAAGTAAACTACATCTTTGACGTGCTGCTTTCAAGGGCTATTTGTTATAGCCAATGGTAATAACGAGCGAGAACACCTGCGCTGGACCAAATCAATGAGTAACATTGAAAATCGCATTAAGTGTTTGGTGTAAAGATATCCTCCATGCATTCCGTTGGTGAAATCTTATTCTAAGCTTGTTTTTTAAATCAGTAAAATGAGCTCAATTAGTTATTCTCGTTAAAATTCTCAAAACTACTGAGAAGCAATGAATCTTGGTTCTACGTAAATACAAAGAACAATCACAGAATCTGAAGTGGACATTTGGCAATACAAGCATTTTTAAATAAACGTGGCCAAATTAGAGATCAGGCTGAGGTCTTTAAGACATAAAGGTACAAAATGGAAATAAACAACTCTTCAGTAGGTTGCCTTTATTTGGACAAAAATTCTAAACACCGTTTAAGGTTGAAACATATCTCTAAACATGGAACATTTTCGTGCAAATTACCAGGGCCTAGATTTCGTCGACGTTATAATGGCATAAATAGACGTCAATGCTTAGTTTGAAAATAAAGTACAAGTCCAGCTAAGAGAGCTAGTGTAATAACAAATCTCCAACGGAGGAAACAGAATATAACGTCTACTTCGATGGAAACTTCAGAATAAGAGGGCCTGTTTCAACCACTTTTAACTAATCTTTTGCATAAACAGATGTGAATCAAAGAATCTCGATAACTGACTTTGCAAACGTACAAAAAAAAACAGCACCGACATATATATGCTACCAATGACGTATAATAAGATAAACAAATTCAATAAATAATTATAACAAAGTATTATGAACTCACCTCCAACAATGAGGTATGTATCGGGGAACACTGAGCAGGCTTGCATGAGTTGACGAGCGTGACCAGAATGGAACATATCGTAAACTCCATCAGCGTAAATTCGAACTCTACGCGGTACTGGAAAGATTAAAGATACACGGTTAAAAGAGCTATTTTTGTATCTAGCACAGAGCAGAAAATAAACGAATTGCGACCTATCTAATAGGTCAGTCGATTGGTGGAGGATTTAGGAAAGCAGACATTCAAGCAAGTATATATTTAAGTGCCAAAGATACATGGAATATGAAAAAGAAAATTTTTAAGTGTAGGCGTGCTAATTTAATTTAAATTAACTAATTTTAATAGCGAGTATTCCGGATGTTTGTAAATAAAATTAAAAAATCCGACCAATAAGAGGAAAATTAGCTATATTTATAGAGAGAGACTTGAACCAGAAACCATATGAAAAATGTCATTTGCGGTATGGAGACTTGAATACAACAAGTTTAAATCTTTTTCATCGATCTATTTATAACTGATATAGCTGGTAAGATGTGATGTACTCGAGAATAATCCTCTCTGGGATCTTCTGATCCCTTTATAAGTGCCTCACAATATGTGGCATGACGTGAAACGAAAATGCTTAACTTAGGAAACAGATCTAATTCCAAAAGCCAACGAATTATGGCTAAATGCATCAATTAATTGGCCAGGTGTGGAGTAAATTCATAACGCATACTGAGGAGGATTTTAAATTTATTAAGAAAACTACTATGATATGTAGACATAAACACAGTTATCAACCCTAGGTACGAAAATATCCTTGACCAAAACATTAACAAATTTAAATCTTACACATTTAAAGACTTCACCAACAGAATAAGAGTGAAAGCGCTTCGGAGAACGTCAGTTAATGTCTCCTATCTTTAACCAGTGACTGAACTAAATACTTCAATAAGTATCATGAGAAACTAGACACACGAATTCTATATTCAATAGAGGAAATAACTTGAAACCAATGAAATTATAAACAATAGCTCAATGGGATCACAGCAATCAGACACACTTAGGTTTATTTGCAACAGAAATAACGAAAAAGAGCTATTAAAAGTTTAAAAATGATCCACAGAAAACCGCCTTTAAGGCACCAATGTCATGGATTGAACAGATCTGTTTGATCTATTAATCGGTTCACTGTAACATTGTTCTAGGTATTACAGTCATGCAAAAGACTGCAGATACTTACTCGGATTGTTATAGTCTTATCCATAACCCTATTCTTAAAGAGAACCTAATAATGCAAAAAATACATCATAAGAGTCAACCAACTTAGCAGACTCAAGGAGGAAAAAACAAAAAATGTAGCCCAACTTATTCCAACGATGGCTAAATCTTTTTGGGATGGAAAGTTGATTGACTACTTGCAGGGAGTAAATTCAGCATAGGAATAAGAGCAATGCGACTATAGTGATAGTGATCAATAGAGAAAAACGAAAGTGTAAGCAAAAGAAACATTAAAGCACACACTTGGGTCATTATACCACAATACCGCGCAAAGGAACTATCAAATACAATAAAAGTTGTTAGATAATTATTTTTGTATCAAGAGCACCCCAGATCATGTTTAATATTGTCTGGTAGATGCGTAAAAGTTAATAATTGAGTTCATTAAACAGTATATTAGAGACTACAGTCGTGAAATAAAGGACATACCTTGGCCCGTCTTCGCCATATCGAGGGTAATCTTAATGCTATAGTCGCATTCCTCCAAAGCCCTTAGAGCTGCAGGTTCGTTGGAAAAAGGAGCTGGTCCACGACCCCAAGATTTCGGGCAAGAAATCTCCTCTGTGACAGAATTCTGAGGTTCTGCAGTCGTCGAATGGGAAGAACTTCTTGAACTTCGACCGCTGGTCTTGCTTGAATTGGGCATAATTGCGGTCTATCGTTTGTTGTATATAACTGAAAATAAAGACACATCAAGAAGAAGGGTAGGAGACGTAACAATTTAATAACAGATGTACTCAAAAATGCATGAAAGCTTCAACAAAGAATACCTCAACTTAGCAGGCACAAAAATTGGAGGCTTCAGAAGGAATATGTCATTTTATTAATGATTTTACATAACAAGCCGACTAGCACAAATACATTCATATATAAACCTTAGGCATGTACAAAATGGAGAAAATGAAGGCAATGAGAAATTAATCGTTGGCTGTGAGGGAGAAAAGAGGTTCTTGGAGATTTTCTGCTAGCAGATTAACCTTGGCACGCATCAAACCAAGATTCATGTCTTTTGTGGTGGTCAGGCATATTATAAAATTGGCCACTTTGGTGAAAACAAGTCGTGCGTTAGTCATTTCAACAATAACGTCTTGCATTGTATCCTGAAAGGGAGGAATTCATGTCAAGCTTGAGCAAATAAAAACCGTGCTCTGATTAGGTCACGATTAAACTTGCAGATTCATTCATAGCAAGTTGACGTTGGTACAGACTCCAAACATTGGATACAATTGCAGCCGTTGTTTTGCAGGAACTCAAATCGGCTCCGCACTGGGTAAGAGGAACTCCTTCAGTGCTAAAGATCATAATTGATTGCACTCCATCGCTTTTAACGCGTTCAAGATAGCGTGCCAATGCTCTCAATTTCAACATGATTGAGACTCAAAATGTACCTAAGTATAAAGATAGTGAAAATTTTAAGGTGACAAGAAACAGATTACACACAGTGATTACTTTACTTCTATTTAACTGTAACCAAACAATTGATAGAACCTAATAGAATTAAGCTTACTATTAATGTGGATAGAAAGCAAAATAAATGGACAAATCATAAAGTACAATGAAGAGCATGAAGTGAACACATAGTAAAAAATATATTTCAACATTAAATTAAAAAATACAAGAAACAAAAAAATTGGAGAAAATAATAGATAATCGAACAGAAGGGTGAAACCTAAACTAATATCAATTTTGAACTTAAAAAGACTTCACTTCACAACACAATTGAAGCAAGAACATAACATCAATCAAGACATAAGCACGACTTATGAAACATGTACATCTTGGAACTCCAGATAAAAGTACATACAACTGTAGATGATTAAATCCTTGTAGTGGAAACAGACCAACCAATCAGAGAAAGCAATATCTCTAGGTCGTTCAAAATGTTAAAATAAATATTAACAAAAATGGAAAATATCTTGAATCTCACACGATCTTTTATTAAATAGTATTTATACATTTTGGAGTTAACATATGAGAGTTTAATATAATTTATATAATTTCTTGCTCTGTTTGTTAATGTATATTTTCTCCATCGATGTGGGTTATTTATGCATATATTTTTAATTCCATCATAAATTTTAAACCTCTTAAAACTTTCCGAGCCTATTGCCATTTAACCTAGATACTTGAGGCTCTGATTGACTATACCCTCCGGTCGCCTTCATCATCCAATAGGATTGTAAATTAAATGAATGTAAGCATATTATTTCATTTAGCTGATTTAAATACAATTAATTTTTTAAACTATTTTGCAACCACATTTTTTATTTCATAGATTCGAAACATCACATTCGTCGACAAAATAGAGATACCAAATACGACAACTACGACTTCCACTAACCTATATTTGTACGACGTCGACAATGATGGAGTATATTTTATTCATTTTCTTCTTGTAACATTTCTAAGGATACAGAATTACTTCTAGGCCATTGGGACTTGGGAGACCTCGATCCAAGTCAGGAATCCATTTGCCCAAAAGGCTCGCTTTTGATTTTCAAGTATGGTAAATTGTGGAAAAGCTGTCGAGATCTTAATATGGTAACTTGCGTAACAGCTGGACGACTATGCTATAGGGATAAGGTGATCAATTTTATGAATTTATTCAATTACTTTTTACTTTAGCCATCGGTTGTGGTCCTTTGTGCTGATTCAAAGTGTTATATATTCGATGCCACGTTAAATGCTAGTGACTCCAAGCCGAAGCTTATACACACCCAGCAGATTGCTTGCAATGCTAAAGATGCCAGAATTCTGGACGGGGGTTGGATTATTTTGCGCTTTTTAATCGAAATTTCTATTAAGATGGAGCCTGTGAAATGGTGGTAGCCTACTCGGACCGTATAGTCCGTCTTTATAAATGGGCTCCTTCTACTTCTGAGGGCAATCCGGATGAACTTGTTTTCTTGGTAAAGTGGGAGTTAGCTGGCCAGATCAGTCGAATAAGTCTGCATTCAACTCTAGACCAAAACAACCTCATTCTAGCTTCACAACCGGGTGGAGGTTTCTCATTTCTCTCCAGGAAGTTGGAATCTTATGGTGGGAGTGTGTGGTAATATTTGTTGGGTGTCGTATTTATTCTTTCTTGATAGCCCTAGTCTGATTTACCATCCACCTAAACAAGCTCCACATCAAAATAGTGAATCTCGAACATGGATCATTGGAGATTTAAAGATCAGATCACATAATGAAATCGATCGTGCAATTGGAATTTGCTTGGCGGATGGAACTATACATTTAATTACTGCGGATTTGCAGAAAAGTGAGACTATTTGGACTGCGAATTTACCCGTGAATGGCGAACTGTTTGGACTCTCGAAATTCGACCTTACTGTATGACACCTCTGAAATTTATTCTTCTTCATAGGGTGATGGTAGTGATGAATTGGCTGTTTGTTGTTGGGATGGTTCAACATATATCTTCAACTATGAGAGAGATATTTTACACTTTCCTCTTGGACAATCCTGTCAAGCTTTCATGGCTGGATGGATGGCTACGTCTCCGGGGCGAAATGAGCCTGTTCTGATCTACTCCACTTGTCAACAATCAATGTTGATTTATCATAATCTGGACGTTAATTCAATTCCTGCTTATTCACTCGTGTTAGCTCTTAACGAAAAGAGAGATTTGTTGGAACGGTTAAAGAAATTCAGTGGAAACTGTAAGTCTACTGATTCGGTCGTAAGTAGGCTACAATATATCTTTCAGCCTTTTCTTTATTCGCTCATTGTTGCAAACTAAAAATCTCTAAAATCAAATCTTACAGTATTTTAGTTGTAGCACAAAACTTTATTTAAACTATTCAATGAGAGAATTTGGATTATGGGCTTAGCAAGGGCGATATTTAGACGGGTTCCAACAGCTAATTATTTTATTGTGGTTTCTTTTTGTAAACGGGCTTTTTGTTTAGATCCACTATTTATTCCCAACGGAAAACAACAATTTGATAAATCTTTCCTTTTAACTTACGATAATGGCAAAAAATCAATCGGAGAGAAAGTTCGACACCTTAAGAAGACCTAAATTAATGGATTCTTGCCTAATTAATTTAAATCGAGGAAAATTGGACACAAGATTACTTCCACCATGATCATTTTACTTGCTTTCGAAATTAATACTGGCATCGTCCTCATTCTAAATCCTGAAGACGATACTATTGGGGCTTTATAATTTCGCCTTCCCGTGTGAAAATTAAAAATGTAAACTGGAGGAGAGAGGGGTGGGGATTCGCATTGGAAACGTTTCCAATTTGCTATCAGGGTTCTACTTACTTTTCTTCATAATGTCATGTTCGATAAACTTCTAACTCTAACAGTCTGCTTACCGTCTATTCAATAAAGAACAATTTGGTATAGTTAAATTACTGTAAAGTACTGCAACGATCGACTTCTTTTACTGCACACAGATTGCAGATTACCAGTCCAGTCATAAAAATCTTGGATCCTACTCGGCTTGTTATCCGCGTTTCATAAGAAAAAACAACCTAGTTTTTTTGTTACTTCGGTATTGTTTATTTTTTATGCAAGTTAATCCTTCCTATTTATTCACATCTCTACCTGCTATTCTTAGTCTCTTTCCATTACATAACATTACTATACCCTGAAATATTAGACCCCTAATATTAATTTATCTTGAAATACTTGTTTTTTTTAATTTCTTGGATGATATTGAGGTCATCTCCCCTGTCATGTCTTGGGGAAAATAGTAATTCACCGACTTCTTAAACAGTTTCTTGAGAATTGTTACTTTAGCATTTTGTCCTTAATTTTCCCTGAGATATATATGTATCTCTACTGTTTATTTCAATGGATAGAAAAAGTGACTACATAATGTGATGCCATTTTGTCTCTCTTGTCGTTTGACTGCACTCTCAGCCACTCCATGTCCTAATCGAGGTAGACGTGTCTTCATTCCTTTTTCTTCTTCTCCCTGTGCAGTCATTCGCCCATTACCTCTTCCTGTTCCATAGTAGAGTAGTCTTTTATTTAATTATTGACATTGTTTTTGTGATGACTCATAGTCATTAATGTTGTTTCTTTCAGCTCTTGATCCTGCTAAACTCCGTCGATCAATTCACTACCTTCTTTACGAGTTGCCCCGCGATAGTCAACACTGTAATAATTGACTCCGAATGATTTGTATTTTTATACTTTCGTTGCATCAAAAAATAAACACTTCGTGACATTATTCCTAAGTGTTAATTATTTAGAAAGTGGTATTCTCAGTTGGACTAAAATGTATTTAGCAAAATTTTTTTTAACTGACAGCCCAGTTAGCTATATCTCGTACTACTAAGTAGGCCTAATCAGTCCAGGGGGCCACAGCTCTAAGTTACTCTTTTATCTCCTCTATCCTTTGCACGCCATGTTAGAGCGTACCTCATCGGATTAGTCGACTTGACCCTAAACATCGTAACATATTTTGTTTGTAACTGGCGATTTTTAATGTCATTACGGCCTTGGCTGTCTGCTTTTTTCGTTGATGGCTGTTTATAGAGTGACACATACTATATTGTCAGAGGATTCACCTCGAGATATAATGGACATCTTAAAGTTAATTAATTTGCTATTGCAGCTGTTCGATAGTTTCTCATTCTGGTTGGTCCCAAATCACATGTAGCTATCTGCATCCAAATCTTATCAGCTAGGACTCTGAGATACTGGTTTTGGGCAGTATGAAATTGACGTCCGCTAATTAGTTCTCGCAAATGAATTATTGACCTCAACAATTCACCTACAGTTCCACTTGACTCACCCAGTAGAGGCCGAAATCCTTAACTAGCCTAAGCGCCCATTGATTAAACCAGCTGATGAATTGGGGACTACCATTGAGGTATAAATTGTTCTTCCGGAGTTAAGATATTGACTATTGTGCCTTAAGTCACGTTTGATGGCCTCGAATAGAAATTCACTTTTGTTTAGAATAAAATACGAAAAAAAACTAACAATGCACATTATTTCCCTTGACCACTTTTTAACTGCTAGGCTATTGTTATTGTAAATTTGACATTCAACTAGCACTTGGTCGCTAGACAAACAGAAATTACATTATATGATGTATTGCTTGCTCTATGGGATGTTAAGTGGTTTCCGGTGAAAATCCAGATGCCTTACTTTGTTAAGTTGTTTGGGCAATGCTAGCTTGCTTTAGTCTTAGAATAGCCTGTTATAATCATTTACCGAAGGCTCGAATTTCGGATGATCTGATTCCTTTCTCAGAACCACCATTCTTCCACCACACTTGATCAACCGTCTTGATCGTTTTGTGGCGCACTTGTGGAGGGCACAACCCTAACATGGCTGAACAAGGAAATCTAATGGGCAATCAGACAGACTCAAAGTTGCTGTCGCGTAGGGAGCAAATGCGGTGATGAGCGCAGGAACCTCTCAGCCAACAGCCAATCAATTTATTTATTTCAAATGGCAGGCGTTTTGATAGTTATCATTAGCCATTTAGCTGACTTCGGGTTTCACGGAGAGGAGGAACATTAAAGTGGCAAAGTGTCGAGAGGGGGGGGGGACAGAATAATGATTCACAGATGTAACAGAGACAGACAGACAAAAAGGCAGAGAAAAGGTGAGATGAGTACTGTTGAAGGGGTCGAATATGGCATACAGTGGGGTCATGGTAGTTCGAAATCAGAATTCAACTGCCAGTTAATAGACTTTTTTGCCGTATGAGTATACGTTGCCCATGGTGCACCACGAGGAGGTAAGTCTATCGCACACCCCTACAACCAATCAATAGTCACTACATTGTTTAACAATACCTTAATGATATTTTAATGAA